GATACACGTAAACGTAAACATAAACATAAATATAAATATATATATATACGTAAGAAAATGAAGAAGAAGAAGAAAAAAAAACTTGTAGTAGTACGTGCTTTTTAAAGAAAAAAAAAAAAAGGAAAAACAAAACAGAAAAAAAAAATTAAAAAAACACGATCGTAATTTAGCCATAGGATGATAAGAGAAAATAAAGAAATAATTAGATAAATAAAAAAAAAAAAAAAATGCAAGAAAAAAATCATAAAGGGTAATAAATCTGATTCAACTCCGAAAAAACGTGCGAGAAACTACGAGAAAACGTTTCTTGAATGTTAAACAAGATTATAATATAATATTCAAACAACCTAATAAAAAATGAAAAAAAAAAAGGAGTTTACAAACACATCATAAGTGTATGCGTGTGAGTGTGTGAATGCATTTTGTTTATGTAATTTACTGATATAATATTATCGTGCGGGTTCAATAATTGAAATATTTTTAAAATTCAATTCTTGTTGTCAATCGTTTATATTTTTAAATCTCGACGTTTTAAAAACGATTTTAAACAATTTAAATTATCAATCATTTTTTATTATACCTGCGTAAAAAAAAAAAAGTATACCTTATATATTCTTCCCGATTCAAAGCGGGAAGGGGGGGCGGAGTGGTGAAGAATGGTTTTTCTTATATTTTGTAAAAAATCAACCAACAATACACACACACACACACACACAAAACACAAAAAAGAAAAGAAAATGATATTCAAAAAAAAAAAAAATAAATAAAATAAAATAAAATAAAAAGAAGAAGAAATTGAAGGTGATGAAATGGAAGAAGAAATTTTGAAGAGAACGATGAAAATAAAAAAAAAAAAATGATGTTTTTAGAATAAAATAATACGCGTTAGAGAATCGAGTGGAGAGTTAAGAAAAAACAAAAATAAAAATTAATAAATAAATAAATAAATAAATGCGATATGAGAACAAATGACTGAGTGGACGTTAAAATAAATGTGATAATATGTAAATTTGTCGTCCACTTTAGTCCATTATTCGATTATTATTATTAATATGACAAAAAGAAAAAGTGAGTAAGAGAGAGAGAGAGAGAGAGAGAGAAAGAATGTCGTATTTAACAAATTATTTCACAATTAAACATTATCACGGAATATACGATACAAATATTACAATTTTCCATTGCGAGTATTCCTATGATATATAAAAAAAAATACACACATATATATAATAGATTTAACTTATTATACTGGTGGAATTTATTATTTGTGGCAATAAACTTTCGAGTTTTTAATGCCAATTAATAATAATAATAATAATAATAATAATAATAATAATAATAATAATAATAATAATAATTTAATTTATTATTTTGATGGGAAATCAATTTCTCTTAAAAATAATTATATTAACGAGTGTTACGAGTGTTACGTTACATGGGTAGTTCATATTTTCCATGTAAAACTCTAAAAATACCATAAAAAATAAGGAAACAAAATATAAAATTAGAATATATTATAATGCGAGAAAAACTGTCGTTCAATCATACGAAAATTAATTTGTTCAAATATATTTCAAATTCATTTGATTAGGTATTATTCGATAATAAAAAATTAAAATGTGTGTGTGTGTGTGTGTGTGTGTGTAAGAGAGAGAGAGAGAGAGAGAGAAACATACGTGATTTTACAATTGCATAAGTCAATTATGATTTTTTAAGGATTGATTAATTTGTTTTTATTTATTTATTTATTTTTTTATGTGATACGTTATAGGAACTCGTTGTAGTTAAAGTTGTCGTGAAAGTCTAGAACGATGGCAAAAAAAAAAAAAAAAAAAAAAAGAAAAAAATACAAAATTAAAGAAAGAAAGAAAAAATGATCGCTTTTTGATGTTGCCTATTGTTAATAACCCTTTTCGCGTTTCGATGTGAGTCGATTAAATATGTGTGTATGTGTGTGTGTGTCCCCAATTTAAATGCAAAAGTAATAATAATACTAATATAATAATAATAATAAATAAATAAATAAATAATAATAAAGAAAAAAACGATAGAATGAGGGGAAATAAATGTTTATGCAATTAAAATTAGTTTAATATGTAAGAAAGATTTATTTTTTGTTTATTTTTTTTTTTTTTTTTTACATGAAACAACTTGGAACCAT